AAAAAACTACTGTCAGGATTTAATAAAGACACGCAGTGAAGAAATAGCGCTGAAAATGCGTGTACAGGATTACTTTTTGTGGCTGACCTTATTGCATTTGTAGGAGTTTCCCTTTCAGGCGCAAAATTTTATGGTAGGAGAGTACTTAAATTAATCATGCAAGATGATTTACTAAAGTGTGCGGTCGTCAATTTACTGGTGTTTGCGCCATTATTTAAAGCCCAAAAAAGCATGTCTTAAACCAGACGCTAACTGGGAGATTGCGTTGGTCATTATGGAAATGATCCGGCTGCATCTGTGTTATTTAATTTGCAGTAGATAGTTAGTAGATCAAGCACAGAACTTTCCACTCCCATCTGCGTTTTTCTTTTTTTGGAATGGCGCTCTCTAATCTGCACTGTTTAGTAGCCTAAATCTGTCCCCAAGCGTGCTAAATAAAAGATTCACTGTGCAGTCAGCTTCATTGATTACAGTGGAACTTTGTGAGATCACGATGAATTGAGGTGACAGCTTTATATAGACTACTGTTGTGACAACATTTCAAGACCACCCACCAATATCGCAATTTTTTTTTTAAAGAGCACTACACCAAAAAGCTTATTTGTCCAAATTTAGGTGATGTCCCACTTTTGCTGACTTCACCCTATAATCCATTCAGAATTTGAATTAAACTTTTGTTTTGCTGCATTAGGCAAGGCAATGGTTATTTATTATTCAAATATGTTGCCATGCCAAATCAGGCATACAGTATGCTTGCTTTTCTGTTCTAATTATAGTGGTTTGCGAACATAGCCACTTTAATAACAAATAATTTATCTGGAGCATTTATACTGGGATGAACGCGTGGCAAGGCAACATGTAACTTCAAACTATTTCATGACATTCTATTTAAATGTGTTTTTAAGGAGGAAGCGCATCTAGCCTTATACCCTGGAGTTGGTTCACCCTCCACCTATAGAAGGATAGAATCTATAGGATAGAATCTTACCTATGGAAACTATCCCTTTAAAGATTGAGCCAAAGTTGCTAAGTCGAGTAGTCACAACTGGTAACTATGACTTACATGATATATCCACTTTATTGTAAGTGGCTTTGGTCAGAAAGCTTCTACTTAGAACATGAATGTAAATGCAAATGAAGTATATGATGTGGACTCATGTAGAAGCGGGTGGGCTTTGGCTCTGGGAGTCATAACTAGGATGTGGTTTAAACTTTAATGTGACAGGTCTGCGCTATTGTGTAAGTCTCGGTCTCTGATGTTTGCTCTCACTTTCCAGCCGCATGTGGTAAGGATGTAATCCCAGAGGCCTGGAAATTATCTGATCTGAAAACTGAACATATACCACACTGTCGCAGAAGTGACAGTGTGTTTTCAAACCCGGAATAGAGGCATGGAGTGACTGACACATGGAAATGTGTATTATATGTAGGAACACAGATAACTGTCCAATATGAACACATAAATATAGTTCTAAAAATGGTCCACACCACAACTATAATTACAATGGTAATCATTGGAATCACTTTCAGAATTTTTTTTTTCAACTGTTGAATTATAAAAACATAGACAGCCAATCAGAATCCATCCTGCTTTGAAGAACTCAAGCATTTAAAGCGGCAGATGACAAAACTCAAGTGAGCGCTTAGAATAAACAGAACGATATGATGTGGACGCTAATATAGCTATCATTATAGTTATCTTTGTAGTTAACATTCATGGTGTGAATGGGCCATAACACTTTGTGAATGATGGGTGTTACAATTCCAACAGAAACCTGCAGTGCTTTTTGGGGAGTTCTGTAGCTGAAAAACCTGCGTGGGCCTGATGGCGACACATAAGGTAGAAAGAAAAAACTGCTAAAGACTCATTTTGTTTGCGTCACCACGTTGCTACTATTCTTTTACCACACACGGATTCTGTTTCCTAACAATATCAATGAACAGCTTCCAATGAACTCGTAGAAGATAATCTACGCGTGTTTCTCCATAAGTAACTCTTCTGACATCTGTTCAGGATGTGTCTGTCTTCATATGTTATAGTAACTGTAGATGTATGAAATAGACATGCAAGCTCACAATCAGACTGTGACGAATGGTGGGGCTGCAGATCGTGTTGCATGTATTTGCTCAAGACAGTGTTTACCAAATTATGCATCTCACAATACTGGAAAACACAGCTGCCAAATAATTCCCAAGCAACGTAAATACAGATACCTGGATATGAAAGTTGTGTAACAGCCAAAGATGTAAGTCTGACACACGTAGACCAGTAATTAAAAAAACAGCGCAGATGGAATACAAAAACACGTCCTATGCAAACAATTTCCTCAATAAAAATAAACTGAATATGGAAAATTGTATATTGATACTTACTGCAGATTAACCCAAGTAAAACTAGCTAATGTAACTATGCATAGATCTTAAATTGTCATTTACAGAGAAACATAACATGCTAATTTGGCTAAAGATTGTATCCTTCCGGGTTATGTTAATGCACATTAAAGGGATACTCCACCAGTTTTTCTTATTAAACTATGTTATTCCCTTAACTAAGACGAGTTGATACATACCTCTCTCGTCTCAGTGCGTGCACTATATCGCTCTGTATTGCCGCAAAACTATGTTAGCACTTAGCTTAGCCCATGCATTAAATATGGGCCAAGCAGAGAAGCGACCAAACACTTCCACGTTTTCCCTATGTAAACACAGTTACTCGAGTAGTGTAACTTGACCTGGGCTGGTGACACAAAATAAACCGTTGCGCTTTTCTAAGCGTTTAAAATTGATGACTATATTGTATGGCGGAATACCATAACAAGTGCTTTTGAGCACTTCGACTTGGCGCAATAATATCTTCACTCGTGAAAAGTCCTCTTACCGGCTCCCGCTTCCTCTCCCCCTCCCTCTGACATTTCCGTCAATACAACCAACGTGACATGCGCCGGTAGTAGTAGTTCGAGCGGAGTTGACGAAGTAACAGGTTGTTGGAAGCTAGTTAGCTTAGTTAGCATTCTAAACAGCACAGGCTCTCAATTTCGGTCGGCATCTGTTCGCAACAGTCACACTTGCACCACCAATTGCTGTTTGCCCGTGGTCTTTCGCCAGCTCCGGTCTGTTCTGGATCATATCTTTCTTGCCTCTCACGGTCCATAAGAGCTAATTCCTCCTCCGTGTACTCGGGTTCAAACAGATATGGCTCTGGGTCTTCTACAAAGAAGTCATAATCATCTACAAAGTCCGCCATTGCAAATGATCTGCAGTTTGCTAATAGCACAGGTAGTAAAAGTCACGTTGGTTGTATTGACGGAAATGTCAGAGGGAGGGGGAGAGGAAGCGGGAGCCGGTAAGAGGACTTTTCACGAGTGAAGATATTATTGCGCCAAGTCGAAGTGCTCAAAAGCACTTGTTATGGTATTCCGCCATACAATATAGTCATCAATTTTAAACGCTTAGAAAAGCGCAACGGTTTATTTTGTGTCACCAGCCCAGGTCAAGTTACACTACTCGAGTAACTGTGTTTACATAGGGAAAACGTGGAAGTGTTTGGTCGCTTCTCTGCTTGGCCCATATTTAATGCATGGGCTAAGCTAAGTGCTAACATAGTTTTGCGGCAATACAGAGCGATATAGTGCACGCACTGAGACGAGAGAGGTATGTATCAACTCGTCTTAGTTAAGGGAATAACATAGTTTAATAAGAAAAACTGGTGGAGTATCCCTTTAACACACATGACTGGTTCGGTTTTATGTGCACATTACAATAGAAATTACACAAGCAAATATCCCATTTTAGGTTACATTTATCGAATGTAATTCCACCATTTGGTACTGATGGTAATAATCATATTTTCCACAATAAAAAAAGAATAATGTATCATGCACCTGCAAAAATAAATGACAAAATCGATACTGCGAAATTATCATAAATGTTTTTGAAAGAAGTCTCACCAACTCACCAACACTGCATTTATTTAAAGTCCCCCGGTAGTCAATAATTGTATCCCTTAAAAATCATCTTTAATCACAAAAATTACATATTTAAACTTTATTTCCTCTGAAAAAAAAAAACTATTCACATCTTAAAATAGCTTGAATGTAACTCTACACCCTTGCCTCCTTTACTATTATTCGGTTCTATGAATATGCAAATTAGCCCCACATAACTCGGACTTTAATACAAAATTGTAAAAACTAATATTGTGGAGATATTATTAAAAATTTTAATAACTTTTTTTAATATATTTTAAAATGTTATTTATTCCTGTGATGTCAAAGCTGATGATTTTGATTGATTGAAAGAAATCTTTTGTCGAAGCATTATAAATCATAATATTTTATATCATAAATAAAGGTGGGAAAACGTTTTCTTTGAAGAAAAAAAAATACTGGCCCTTTCAAATAGCTTCACTGTTAGATACTTTTTTTTAAAGGGATAAACTGTATTAAATTCTAAGTAGCTTGTAGCTTTCCTAAGGCATATACATACATATACATACATTCAATAAAATAATTCTGGAAACAGGGATTCTTAATTCCACAACCTTGTCTAATCAATGACGCAGTTTGGGGGATTCTGGCCTCTTATCTATAAGGCTGACATAATGAATTCACCTCAAATCAGAGATCCCACGTCGGGCACTGGAAAATGTGTTTTACATTTTCCTTGAAAACAATTCAAATGACTACAGAACTGAGGCATGTCTGGCTAGGAGAAAAGACCTACAGATGAGTTATCTTACAATCTCACCGCTCAATCTTCAGCCATACACTATCTACATACATTTAGCTAATCCATTTATGCCACTCGAATGCTTGTGGTCTTATATGTTCCAGGTGGAAGGACAAAAAGCAAATGTTTACTACTTCACATCATGGACTGAGAATAGGATAGGACTAAGAAATATATTGAGATTTTCTGGATTTCATGGAACACGGTGTAGGAAATTGTGAATGACACACACACACTCACAGACTAAAACTTGCAATGGCACTTTCTCTTACCTGCATTCCTGAGAAAATTGCCATCATAGTCTTTGACGACCCTGGTGTTGGGATCATAAAAGCCATCGCCGCTGTCATAGCAACCATCAGGGATGAGCCGCGGGGGGTCCCGATCAGCTAACTGGGATTCTCCTATTCAGAGACATGGTGAGACTTGATTTCTTTCTTATATTTTTAGAGAATCACGCTGCTTGTCTATAAATGATCCCACACATTAATTCCAGTAATTTCAGACCATACCTGCTGGTTTGAGGCCATTACACCTCTCAGAGTAGAACTGCCTGTCTGTGCCATCACAGTAATCCCAGTCAGTCTCTTTATACTCCAGGCCGTCAGAAAATGTGTATTTTCCCTATATGTGTAACAAAACATTTAGTCCACATAAAGTATTTGGACACTCAAGATACACTTCAAAATCTCATTGCAATAAATACAAAATATCAAAGCAAAGGAAGGGTGGGCGATTTACTACAGAAACATTTTTTGTTATGCTGGTTGAAAGTCTCTTCACATCCTCCTCCTGAGCAATCACTTAGGGCTCTTTCACACCTACCTTGTTTGGTCCGGACTTTCGGACTTTTCAGTTTGGTCCGAATCAAAATTACAGGTGTGAAACCTCCCCCGGCCCACGGTCCGGACCAAACAGATGAAATTTGGTCCGACGAAAAGAGGTAGTCTCGGTCCAGATCAAACTAACCGAAAGTTTGGTTCGTTTCTAGTGTGAAAGCATTTCTGTATGGTTCAGACTTTCGGACCTTTTACAGGAAGTTCTGGTGGTTCCCGCATAGCCGAAAAAACAAAAGGTGGCAGGAAAAATGATGGGGAGAGGAGGAGACGAGGTTTTTTATTGAAGTATGGTCTGATGACATAATGAAAAGTCAACTTGCAGTCTTCTCCTCCTTTCCTGCCGGCGACGATAAAATGTTCGCACGACGAGGACGTTCATTTGGGGAATTTGAACTAGCCTTGTGTATAGTTGGTGCTGCAGGTAATTATGCCATAAAAATAACAATATAGTTGCAACGATATGCGTCTGTTCATTCATGTTGTCAAAGTTACCCGCCGAATTGACAACACGCTGACGTCAGACGCACGTCCATTTACAAAACCAATCAATGTCAGGATGCAGCCCACATAGATGATGGCGACAGGACGCAAGTATGTCACGTAAAGTTCTTTAGTGCGCTCGCATAATTGCAGTGTGAAACCAAACCAAAACTTTCTGAAAGTATCAAATGTATCAAAACGTGAACTTTGGTTTGGACCTTGGTGCCGACTTTCAGGTGTGAAAACGCCCTCAGTTAATTGGTCGTAATGTATTTATAAGAATAAATATCGTCTGTGGAAGGCCAAATGTTCGACCAATCATTGCATTCAGTCCGAATGCAACAATACGATGTCCTACCTGCCTGTAAACATGTGTATTTCCATAACTCGGCGCACCTGCTCGCACACACATCACACGTCATCAGCGCGTTTCATGCTCTGCAGAGTTTGACAGACGTCAGTCATCGAGAAGTGCAACCGAAACAGCAGCCACCTTTTACAGTTCCCCATGGACCAAAACAATGAGCTTATGCTGCGTAACTCCAGTAATTTGTAATTTGAAACCCGTGTTGCGACGCGAATTTATGCGTTTCAATGTCAACACTATTAACGGCGAAATGAATCTGCAGCAGTCATGTGATACAGGTCAGTTGACTTTATGCACAGCTGCACTACTTCCTGAACTTAAAGTCGGCATGAAACGGAAGTTGAGATTGTCATTTTTTCCTTGTTGTGACGTAGCCTATATCCGAGTGAAACGGCTTCTGAAATTAGAAAAAAATGTAGGGCGGGGCTTGATTTCGTCCTTCGGGAATTGATTGGATCGTTGGAGGTTGGGCGTTGCAAACAAAATGGAGGCAGATTTGAATGTATCTTCTCTGAGAGGCGGTGCACCGATAGCCGCACCCTCATCGGCTCTGGCCGCACCCTTTCGCCATTGCACGTGACCGAAAGAGAAGAGAGGTCGTTTCGAGGGGGGAGGGAAGGGTAATGTATTTGATTAAAGATTATAAGGGTACATGAATTTAAAAAAAATAATGAAGTGCACAGATAAATCATTTATAATAAACACTACAATATTACATATAAAAAGAAGATTTGTCAAATTTGATTTAATGCCGACTTTAAGCCAGCTCCTTTATTTCCTGTCTTACATTATTGGACACACTGATTAATCCAGGTGTGTCTGATTATTGTTGCTATGACTACTGAGGTCAGGCACACCTGAATTAATCAGTGTGTCCAATAATGTAAGACAGGAAATAAAGGAGCTGGCTTAAGTTCAGGAAGTAGTGCAGCTGTGCATAAAGTCAGTTGAAGTTGTTTATGTTCGTTGTCATTGTAATAATGTACTTTGAGACATGAGGTAGTTTAACGCCGTCTCTCGTGGTGCTTTGCAGACTCTGCTGTGCGCATTCATGTGTTTTGAAGGAGACGTGGCTTTGGAGACGCTGTGAAGTGAGGGTGGGATGTATGCTTTCAAAGCTAGCTCGCTAATGCTAGCCTCTCCAAAAAATTACCTACCCTACCTTTAACAACCAGAATGTGTCACAATACTCTTTGTCTTCATTCTGATCAGTATAGCTATTATTTGATCATTGCAAAGTGTGCGTGTGCTATCTTTCATTAAAATATTTGCCACTTGCTGTATATGTCTGATATTTTGTTAAATATCAAATATATGGCTGTTGGCATACTTATCAGAATCAGAATCAGAATTCTTATATTATTAATATTAGGAGCAGAGAAAGACCTGTTTGGATATTCCTTTCTCCCAAGTTCCCTCATACTTGCTTCCATTGGGGAAATGCAGCGCTCCTTTTCCATGGAACATGCCGTCTTTCATCTCTCCGACATATCTAGTGTGAGTGGGGATTGTGTAGCTGCCCATCCCCTCCATCCTTTAATAAAGACAACACGATGAGAGGAAATGAGATGGCTTGCCTCACTTATTACCTATCAAAATTATTTTATCTATATTAATATCTCAAGAGTACTGCAAAATTGCCATGAGCATGTTTCAAAAAGGAAAATCATTACACTATTGTTTTTGTTACTAGGAAAATAATGAGTTGTTTTTAAAATACGGTGATTTTTTTTAAATATGGTGGTTTTAAAATAATCCCTTGACTTTTCAGTCATGAAAAATATTTAAAATATTCAGGAAACCCCATACATTTTTATTAAATCATATGGAATAGTTTCAATATTGCTTTGTACATTTAAAATATTTTAATATACCAGTGCCTGAAAAAAAACTTGTTCTACCATTTATGACATTTAACGTTACAGTTATTTATTTATTAATGACTTTGTTTTATGAACGTGATAATATCTTTGTGACTTGAAGGCTTTGCTCATAATTAGAAACTGGACACATCCTTTGCATAATATATGACATAATACAAGTATATGGCATTCACATAGCCTAAAATTAAATTAAATATGGTAGTTCATATAAATGTCGTCAAATTCAGTTGATTTACCTGCCATTTTTGTAATCTCCATCATAACTGCTACCCATGAACTCCATGTTTATACTGTTTCCATGGAAACACAACCAAGACTGTTCTTGTAATGGTAAAAACACTCCTCTGTGACAGATGTAACTGTCATGTATACATAAAGTGATAGAATAGACTATATTTAATCATCTCAGAACTAGGAAAAGGTTTTGAAATCTGCAGAAAAGTAGTGCCATAACTTTGCGTTGCGATTGGAGCCAAGATGGCGCAGCAGTGTCCCAGTTTCCACACGCATGACGTTATCTAAATGCGCCTGTAACTATTCGCGCATGCGCACCTGCGCAGACAACTGACCTTCTTCGTGCGGCCTCGTCTTGCTGCAGACGAGGACATTGGTGAACTGTCAAACTCATTCTGATTAGTTTTGGTGCCGTATAATTCGCACCATGCCCGGTGTGGTTGAGCTTCCGACGTTGCAGGAACTGAACGTCGAAGAGGTACGTCTGAAAGAATGAAAAACAAGCAGGTGTTAGCCTAAAGCTGCAGGAGTCGCACTGCTAACGTTAACCTGTTAAGTTAATTTAAACTAGCACAGTACTGTATGCCTATTAGTGAAGATAAAAAAGAAAGCAGAAATTCGAAAGAACTGGATAACTGATTTTTTGACTACATATTGGTCTTGTTTTTAGCAGTATCAGTGTAGCTAAGTGTCAGTGGTTTCATATTTCCATGTATTATTAAGGGTAACACTATAATGGGTAACAATCCTTTTTCTTAGCAGGCTTATTATAGACACCCATAGATTATTATGTGCTTTGTAATCCCTATTGTTTTGGATCTTATTAATATCCAATTCAATAACAAGACTGACTACCTGACATTTTGTATTAGTATCCAGGATATTTTTTAATGTCATACATGTATTATTTTTGCTGGGGAAAGTAATGTATTCACTTAATGTCAAATAGGTAATTTTCTCCTACGTCATGCGCGTTCTTAGGACTTTGCTGTTTTCTGTGCAGGTCAATGTATCATCAGCTGTACTGAAGGCTGCTGCTCATCACTATGGCTCTCAATGTGACAAGGCCAACAAAGAGTTCATGCTGTGCCGCTGGGAGGAGAAGGACCCCAGAAAGTGTCTGAAAGAAGGGAAGAAAGTCAATGAGTGTGCAGTCAACTTCTTCAGGTACACAACACTTTCACTTGTTTGTCTTGATTTGGCTTTGAATCCTTTAGATAGATAATGTTTTATTGTGAGCTGCACATTGTAATTGTAAAGCAATTTACACAACCTTTTTAAAAAAAATATATATATATTTTTTTTTTTTACAAATTAGCAATTCCTTCTGATAAGATTTCTCAGTATTTATTGGAGTTGTCAAAACTCTACTTCGACTTCTAATCGACTTCGGTACCAAGAAATTTCAACGCTTCCGTGTCTATCTGTGGAAGCGTTCGGTGAAGAGCATCAAAGATGTCATTGTTGATCATTGTAGCCAATCAGTAAGTTGAGCGCGTCAACACAATGGCCAATCAGAGACATAGGCTATATGTTGAGCGTGTGAACACAATGGCCAATCAGAGACATAGGCTATATGTTGAGCGTGTGAACACAATGGCCTATCAGATGTGTTTAAGAAGCTGTTCAACAGCGCTCGCAATTATAGAGGGAAATGCTTGTATCGTCACATTTGTACATTTTGGTACCGAAGTTGGTACTTTTTGACAACTCTAGTATTTATCATTCTGATTTATTGGTGTGACCCATTCGCTAATCCATTACGCCTCATCATTCTTATACGGATCAAAGCGGCCGCTTCAAAGAAATTGACAGGCCAATGCGTCAGTATGTAGCTGAAATAAGAAATTATGTCCTTTTCCTTCGCTGGTGGGTAAGTTAAGCACTTTGGCGATACCCAGTGCCTTCAGCTGGATGACGGCTCTGGTTATGGGCAGCCCCTCATTTCTTTTTTCGACTACTTACTGACAACACTTGTCCTTCAATTTCTTCAAAGCGGCCGCTTTTAATACAGCGGTAAGACAGTCTTTTTGGGCTCACCATCTTCTAACATTACACTCTGACACACCGTATTTCTTGGCTGCTTAATGAGAGTTGTTTGATGACATTTATCACCATTAGCTTAAAGTTTGCATCCCCTGGCACTGTAAACTACCGGTAGTTTACAGGGGCGGGTTGCTTCAGTCCAGGGGGAAACACTCGTTTTACACGTATTTGGCGCTCCCTATTGTTGCGGGTGTATTATTGACATGTAAAAGTCTAGACTCTGAATATAAGACGACCCCATATTTTCAGATATTTTTCCAAGAGAAAAAAAAACACTTGGCACTTGGGCTTTGGACTTGCCAACACTGATGGCGGATTCGGATCAGATCGCCTGTCAATCAAACTCTTGGAAAAAGGGTGATTTACTGTAGTCTCAGATTGTAATGCAACTGCACAGTGACATTGTCTGTCATGATTGGGCAAGTGTATGGATGGATTAACTTGTATAAATTTAAAAATATAATCATGGGGATGAGATTTATTCTCACAATATCAACATATTCCAGGTAAATGAATCCAAAGAAATGTAAGCGTAGGACATCTGTCTTTGCAGGATAGCAATTACTATATTGACCTGCCAAATTACAAGGTGCGACACAAGAAGCGACAACCAATGCGAAAGTTTGTAAAGTAGCTTGGTTTCTGTTCTGTGGCATTACGCTGGGCAGCATCCTTCATTCCTGAAATGTCATTGAACCAAAGCCCTGCCCATATTTTTCTTAAACTTGAAACATTTACAAAAAAAAGTAATTCCGGAGTCATTGGATATTTTACAAGCACAATCATAAAAAATGTGCTGTCTGGAGAAGTTTCCTGAATGTCATGAAAATAAAAGGTATGTGTTTATGGTTTTCCAGGTGTAACTTGTGTGAAAGAGCGCACAAATAGAGAGAACTCGGCTGCACTGCTCAGATTGGTTTTTATTTTATTATGTCCTTCTGCATTTTTGTCTTTCCGCATGGACAGAAAATGAGTCGTTGTGTCATAGCTGGTTAGGACATAGTGTAAACCCCACTATTTGCATGTAATTAGTTTTAAAAATCACATATTGTTTTGTCTACAGGCAGATAAAGGGAAACTGTGCAGAGTCCTTCACAGAGTACTGGACCTGCCTGGATTACTCTAACCTGGCGGAGCTGCGCCACTGCCGTAAGCAGCAGAAGGAGTTTGACACCTGTGTGTTGGAGAAGCTGGGCTGGGAGAGGCCTGACCTAGGAGATCTGTCCAAAGTGGGTCAAAATATTCATTACTTTGTAATTTAAAACCTGTATTAGAAGTGGTGTCCATGTCGTTTTGGTCTTCCTCCATATCCTGTACTTCACACCTTTGACCTCTCCCACAGGTGACCAAGGTGGCAACCTCTCGACCCGTGCCTGAAAACCCCTACCATTCAAGACCAAGACCTGAGCCCAACACTCCCATTGAGGCTGAGCTACAGCCATCCAAGCACGGCAGCCGCTTGTTCTTCTGGAACTGGTAAAAAGGGCCAATCGCTGTCCTATAAATATCATGTTCTCTATGCTCCTGACCAGTGTGCCAGTGGTTGCGCTGTTATCCTAACGTATTGTGTAGAAATGTTAATAAATTTTGTGCACTCGAAACATGTTATCGAATTAAAAAAGATTTAATTTAAACTTGGCTTCAGGTTTCTTTTTGTGTAGTTTATATTGATTTGACTGTTAAAGGGGAACTTGGCAACTATTTCAACTTAATAAAACCGTTTAGAAATCATATGATTGGTTCAATAACCTGTTCTGGAGAGGATGGTGACTTTCCCCCGCTCCCCCCAGCGTTCCCAGGCGGAAAATCAACCTTGCAACATCGGGACTGACGTCCCGGTAAGTTGGAAATAGGAAGTCTTGTGAGAAGCGAGAACGAGCGAGAAACACGAACTGCTTTATGGCAATTCGACATAAATCTATGGTACTGTCTGTGTATGATCTATTACCCACCTCGGTAGACATAGCTCCACACGATAAAGTTGGCCGGCTCCGATAATAACAAATGCACATAAGCAGCGGTAGAAAGCGGGAAGAAGGTGCCGCAAGTGAGTTTTTTTTATGACAGTGTTGTGAAAACATACGCCGCACAGCTGTAAGGGGAGCTCGATGAGAAAAAATGCGACAACAAAAGTGAAAATCAGCGAAAAAATGGCTAGAGTTGGCAAAGTTCCCCTTTAAGAATGTTGGGTTCAGTACAACTTAAAAGGTTTGTTAACACTAGGGATGAGTCGCGATCTTCGAATAGTCGAACTGCGTTAGAAATTCGATCATAAAATTGCTTATTCGAATATCGTTATATTTTCCCGCAATTCCAATGTGACATAATTGACGGCACGCCTACTGTCCTAGATCGCGCAGCAGGGTATTTTCCTGTCAGGGACACAAGCTACTAGCCTCGTGAGACCATCCTGATCTCGCGAGCTTTCAAGGTTTCACTCGCAGATCAGTCTGGATACTTTCCGTTAAAGAAAATTTGGGAGCAGTTCACCAAACGAACGTCCAATCAGCGTTGGCTTTGAGGCGGGTTGAGGTGTGACGCAACGAGAAGCGCGTCAGTTCAGTCTAAAGAACATGTCGGCTTCAGCGGATGAAACTAGCATCAGCGTGGCTATCGAGCAAGTTTTATCGGAATTACAGAGTATTTCTTCACTGAAAGAAGAGCAAAACACTGCTCTGGAGGCTTTTCTCAGAGGAAAAGATACGCTCTGTTAGTACGTCATATGCTTCGTTGATCTGATTGGTTGATTTGGCCCGTCTATCACCAACATAGGCCAATCAGCTAACCAGTATTTTCGCCCCTTACCAAAACTACTTCAACGGAAGGTTTCCAGATGGATATGCGGAGCAAATCCATCTGTCGGAGTCAGGTTAACAAGCTACCACTAACATGAATGAAACCCCCTTCTGCGGGATCTAGGATACCAGTGTTTTATACATAGTGTAAACAAACAACAGAAGAAGATGTCGTGACCGTTAACTCTGCGCCCAACAGAGGTGGGTAGTAGACTAACCTTTACTGTCTATGGTAGTAACCAAGTAGGCTACTATTACTTCACTACGTTGGGCGACGTTCCTCTCGTTACTTTATTTTAATGAAATACATGTTTATTCCAAGCGCGCTATCTTTTTTTTATGGGCATGCCATGAGCGATGCTCCATTCGCAAATGAATCACTCTTTTGAGTCGATTCTGTTCAAAGACTTCATCAAACAAGTTGGCAGATCTGTCTAAATCGGTTCGCGAATCAGTTTGAATGAGCTGTTCAGTTCCTCGCGCACTGAATCGTCTGAAGCGCTTTCAATTCACACTCGACACGGAGTCGTAACAGGAAGATTTAAGAACATCAAGAGCTTTGGATGAAGTGGCCGTGGTCCTACAGTTTAGTCTAGTGAAAGCAAATCTGCAAATGCATCATATTTTGCCAGCGATGAAGATCTAGTTGAACATCTTCGTATGATGTCTGTGAATGAATGAGTCCACAGGATACATTCGAGTTCATTTCATTGAGGTAATACATTTTACAACCAAACAGATTATTACGCGACGATAGCACTACAAGTATGATGACATTATCTGTTTTTTGGACATATACATTAATTTATAGGCTACATTAAATAAGCTACCATTGTCCACAGTTTATGAAATGAACACCCGCCATCCCGCGGTAATGTGTGTGTATTGCGCAGTGGCATCACACGAATAGTTTTGATTGAAACTAATTTGTTTAAAAAGTAGGCTTTTGCAGTAACAAGGCAGGTTTGCATAAAATCATTATGACATTATTTTTTTTATCTAACGAGCATCTGGTTTGGCGATGCAAAAAAGCGGACTGTCTGCTTATTGTTTTTTTCTTCTGTAAGTTAACTACTGGTATGTTAAAAAAAACGACGAAAACATGTTAATTGTTCAATTAATAAACAGTTTGTTTGATGACAAATCGCTAAAGATGAAATTGGCCTCCCTTTCTGTCATTGTGAGTGTGCGTTTTTTTTCTTTTTTTCTTTTTTTTTCTTCGATTTTCGAACGATAATCGACTATTGCTCCTCGATTTTCGAATGGCATTTTTGGCAGAAATTCACATCCCTAGTTAACACAAAAATGAAAATTCTGTCATTATTAATTCATCCTCATGTCGAAGACTTTCGTTCATCTTCAGAACACAAATGAAGACATTTTAATGAAATCTGAGATTTCTGTCCCTCCATTGACAGTCCACACAACTACCACATTGTCGCTTCAAAAAGTTCATAAAGAGATTTTCTGAAGTCACGATCACTTTATATGATGAACAGATTTAATTTGGGCTTTTATTCAATATAAAAATTTCATCAACGCACACATCAGCTCAAGTATGTTTGCTTGACATACGAGAACCAATGAGGTTCATTCTCGTGTTACGCAACACGTTTGAGCTTCAGCGAGAACCAATGAGGTTCATTCTCGTGCTATGCAGCACGTTTGAGCCAGAGCCATAGATAGAAAGAGTTGCGACACGCTTTGATGTCGCCGCGACGGCTGTCACGTGGTTCATGTAAGCTCCATTAGTTCCAAAACACACGCGGGCTGTCATGTTCTTCTATGGGACAGACAGCAGCGATTGCATTATTAAACGGTAAATATAAAATAAAACACACACCCAAGTACTTTTTAAGCTGTTATTGCATTTTGTTAATGTCAGTTTTGCATTTGGAGAGGCAGGGTGACAACTTAGATAAGTTTTAGGCTATTTTTTTGGAGGGAAAAGCTTAGTGTTCATGTTCGCATGGGTAGTACGTTAGCACTGGCTTTAGCGGCTCTAACTTAACTTTTCCATATCATTCATCTGATGATGGACGTCTCATGATATTTATTTTAGCACAACTGGGCTGTATTAGGCTATTGATTCCCGTGATCTTGCTTATAAATTCCGATTCAGCCATTAGCCTATACCTTCGTGATCACGCAAAGAGATCTGCAGTCCGTTCAGAACTCCAACCAACACAAAATATTAATAATTACGCTGTGCATGTACAAATGAATGATTTAGGAGGGAAATAGACTGCTCCCATAACGTAGAAAGCAACGACTATATACAGCAATGTTCGGTAAATATTCAACCGAAAAATATTCTTCATAAAATTAAACCGGAGAGATAGTTAATGAGTGAATTAACTATGTTCCTAAATACATATAAGGACATGCATAACCCTCCCTAACCCATTTAAATAAATGAATTGTGTGTGTGTGTGTGTGTGTGTGTGTGTGTGTGTATATAATATTATATATAGGTTATATATATGTATATATATATATATATATATATATATATACATTTAAAATATTATTAAAAATATTATATATTATATACATCAGGTTACCAGTTAGCTAACGTTAGTGAAGTGTTGGTCACGTAAGCTATCGCTGCAATTAACCTATTATCTTCCAATAAACATTTACTAAAACTGGCTACATTAAATATAACTACAGACTAGATTCACGAAGAGATCGGCTAATGTGTGTAAAAGTAAAAAAAATACAGTAATTTCATTAATTTACCAGCGAACGTACTTCTGAAGCACTGAAAATGAATGGGGTTCAATGGAGAAACTATCAGTGTTTGGAACTATCGGCCGCTCCACGACACGCGTTACTTCCAGAGTTCCTATGGCGGTCTATGGGAGTGTCGCAACTCTTTCTCTCTATGGCTCTGGTTTGAGCTTCTGCAAGAACCATTGAGGTTCATTCTCGTGTTACGCAACACGTTTGAGCTTCAGCAAGAACCAATGAGGTTCATTCTCGTGTTACGCAACACGTTTGAGCTTCAGCAAGAACCAATGAGGTTCATTCTCGTGTTACGCAACACGTTTGAGCTTCTGCAAGAACCATTGAGGTTCATTCTCGTGTTACGCAACACGTTTGAGCTTCAGCAAGAACCAATGAGGTTCATTCTCGTGTTACGCAACACGTTTGAGCTTCAGCAAGAACCAATGAGGTTCATTCTCGTGTTACGCAGCACGTTTGAGCTTCAGCAAGAACCATTGAGGTTCATTCTCGTGCATCAAATTTGGTTGAGCTTCTGTTTATATTCGCTGATCAATGTTTATATGTGAATAAAAGCCTAAATTAAATTCGTTTATATAAATTAATAGCCATGTTAATTAAGTATCAATAAAAAAATAGAAAAACAAGAAGCTTTTTACAAAATCAGATATACAAAATAATCTTGGTGTATATGGAGGGGGTATTTTACAAATATTGTGTTGGAGAACGTAATATCCTTCGAGTCAAAAGGGTTGAGACCCACTGCTCTAGGGAAATTATTTTGTTTCTGTTTTTCTGTAATGAAAGTTTGCTTTATGTAAACAGCAATTTGCCATTACTGTTTAGGCTATTAAAGATTTTTTATATATTTATTTTTTATATTGAATAAAGATTGAGAATTTTTTTGATAGAAATATTGAAAAATAGATTTTAAAAAACTAATATAGTTTACCATAAATTTTCCTCAACACAGCCACAGAAGTGTTAAAGGCATGTTGTTATAACCTTTTTTTTTTAACAAAAATATTAAGCAGTCAAAACTGTTTTCAATTTCAATTGTAATAATATTTTACAATATTACTGTTTTTACTGTTTTTTGGGTTAGATAAATG